GTAAACAGTCCTATGTAAAATCATAAAACTATTGAGTTAGATAATAAAATTTCAATTTTTTTATTTTAAAGGTTAAAAAAAATTTTTGTATGTATTATATCTCAGATAAAATTTGAAAGATACATGAGCATAAATAGGTCACAATAATTTTATTAATACTATTGTTAATAAATAGTTAAAGTGAATTTTGTACCAATGAAATTGTTATTATGAAAAAAATGTTGTGTTACAGCATACTGGAATGTGTCTTCATGTTCTGGAAAACCATGAGAGTCTTGTAACAACTTGTGCCTTTTCCGAAGATACATCAATCTTTTTAACAGGTTCGTATAATTTAGACTTTACTGATGACTATCATCAAGTTGACTTAGTAAATTGAAAATTTTTATCAAAAAAATTCACCTGTTAGATACGTAGTTGAAAAAAAAAATGGACAAAGTAAATATTCCAATTTACTAAATATTTGAGCTTCCGAAAATTTATAGCTAGATCAAATTGCAGTCATCCAGTAAACAATTGTTATTTTAGGTGCTTTGGACAAGACTGTATTGGTTTGGAAATTACCTGACCAATTGGTCTCTCAAAGTATTCTGATTGATCGTTTACGAAATTACCGAAAAAAAGTAAGTTTCTGTTGATTACCTATAATCTACTTATTAATTTGTACATGAATTATAAAAAAAAGAGGATAAATGATAATTGCATTAAGATATCCGAACAACTAAGTAAAAAAAATTTTTAATAATGATCATAAATACATTACAAACATTAACCATGTACGGATGATTTTATAAAAAACTCCAATTAGCTCTCGAAACTGGAAATATAATAAAGCACGCATTCCAGGCAAACATATTTTTTCAACGATCAATAGAAAAATACGTAGAAAAAAGTGTCTTACAATATTCAATTATATTATATTTGATAGCAGGTGGAAGATAAAAATCTTGGTCCCAAAGGTGTTCTCACTTCAAAATAATGTTCTATCTCTTAGAGTTTTCTATTCCGAGTTTTTTTATACAATGATACTTACAGTATAAGCGTTAATCAGAGACAAACATCTTTTTTTTAATCAATGCCTTAAATTTAATATTCCACAGAATATTCCATAAATTTAATATCTTTATTGATGCATTTTCATTAACAAAGTATCCAATTCGATGGGTTGTACCAAAAACAAGTGTGTTGTTTATGATATTTTTTTCCATCGTAGGTTGCCGATTGGTCAGTTGAAGATGTAGTTAAATGGTTGCACGAAGTAAATTTGGGAGACCTATCAAGGAGTATCTGTACGCTTTCCATAACTGGGCGAATGTTATTGCGCATCCCGGAAGACGTCATCATAGGCAAGCTAATGCTGGACAATGACCAGGAGGTAATATTTATTTCAACAAATTTCCTTCAAACGAATACTGAATGGTAAAAATTATATTTTCTTTGGAATTATATTTTTTAGCTGATTGACATGTTTCGCAAGCACTTGTATTGGTTGAAATGCGAAGATAGTAACACTGCCTACATTGTTGAAGATGTGGATATTCCAGACGATTTCTTATGCCCGATAACGCACGAAATTATGAGAGAACCTGTGCAGTGTTCAGGTAAAGTACCTTGAAATTTTATTTATTTTTTTTGTCGATCCATGTATGTTCGAACTAAAAGATAAATAGTGCTAGGTAAATAAACCTATGTTTTGAAAATTACGTATTTTCAGACATAACTGATATACTTATGTGTATACACAATGAAGTTGTAAAATTTAGGAAATATCTTCGAGGCTTCTTGTCAAACACGGTTACTTACTTTTTTGCATACGTTTAATGCTTAAGTTTAATAGTTTTAAATATATCCTTAGTTGTCTGAATATCAAAAATAACTATGTTTATTTAGTGTATATACCTAACAAGAGGTCAATACACTTTAATATAAAGAAAGAAAGAAAAATCGTAGTTTTTGACAAATTCAGACAATTACAATAATAAATTTATTTTGAGATCCTAANTTATTTAAAAGTAATCTAGTAAATTTTTTCTTGATTCTAAAAAACTTTTTTTTATAAGTTCAGCCACTTTTTGTAAATCTAATGATTATCACAAGTAAAAGCCTCTAACAAAATTTAATTTTAACCCCTTTTTATCAGGTGCATTAAGTACCTTATTTTAATCCCTAAGACCATGAAAATCAACAGATGGTAAATCGAACTTTTATAACAAGATGTGATTTATTGCCATAAATGTAGTACTCCTGTGACCATATTTAAATGAATGTACGCACATCTTAACCGAAACTAAAAAAAGAATCTTTGATCATGTTAGTCTGGCAGTCAAGCTCGAACTTCTTTTGTAAATTCTGGAACAGCCGTCAGAGTATGCCGATGGTCGCCTGATGGTACGAAAATAGCAACCGCCGGGGATGACGAAAAGACAATACTTTGGGATTTGGAAACCATGGAAGAATTGAGGTCAGTGTTAAAATTATTGAAATTGAGTGAAATTTATTTGTATTAACTTGTTGACGAGCTCACTTACTGAACACATGGATGTGATGATCAAAATAATATTAATAATAATATTAGTAAAAATAATAATAATATCGGTAGCAGTACTAACAATGAAGGTTTTTGTAAAAATATTCACAGTAGGTAAGCTCGGTGAAAACACTTTTTACACTTTTGTCACTGGGGGCCACGTAATCCATGTTTTTATTCGTTGAATTAGTAAAAAGTTATACACATATATATGTAGATGAATAGAGTCATGAACTTTACAACTGTCCTTACACATACTCTGATGAATTACGCATCGACCGCGTTGGACAATTACACGTCGTTAAATTTCATGGAACTATTTGACTAAAAAAAATAAATATCCATCATCAAATTTTCTTCATAAAAAATGTTGTATATGAAGGTATAGATAAAAAAATAGATTTTAAATACCATTGGGATCCAATGAAACACGATACAAAGAGTAATCTGACTTGAGCACAATTATCTTCAAAATTTTCGGAAAGTTTGAAACTAAACCTCTGTTCCGTAACTTAAATCCACTTTTAAAAATTTTACACCACTACTTACAGTACCGTATTTAACAAAAATGTACGCTGCAAAAATTTCACATTTATTCTCTTTAAAAAACATTGTGCATAATTTATTATTTTTATCGAAAAATTGTTAAGCACTGTGTTATAAGTAGTGATGAAAAAAAAATTGTCCTCTGCAAATCGCGCAACGGATTATTATAAAAAATAAACTAATAAAATGTAACGCAAAGTATGAAAAAAAAAAAAAAAAAAAACTGACGGAGTCAAAACCAAAAATCACAATGCAATACACGTGGCCACCAGTGCCGAGTGCAATCTTGCAAGAACGGCCCGGGCATCTACCGCCCTGATCTATTAGCGATCCTTGCAGTGTGTTCGAGGGCCACGCCGACGCGATCACAGCGATCGCCTTTACTCCTGACTCGCGCTACCTCGTGACCGCGTGCAGTGAGGGTGCCTGGAGGCTATTCGACCTTCGCACGTCCCAAGACGATGCTGGAGGGCCCGTAGCTCAGACCAATGCCCTGCTCGTTTGCGACGTCAGCCACGACTTGGGGGTTCAGGGCTGCGACTTCAGTCCTACCACGGGACCCTTCACCATGACTGGTGGGTACTTGCTTTATTATTATTGCACCTGTTTGTTTGTTTACTCCTCATTGCTAGTTGAGCTCGAGCTATTGAAATTCTCTTCGTGAACTCATACTTTTCGTTACTTGTGATCTTGACAATGTTGTGAGAAACGTGATAATGTAAAAATTAATACTTGAGAAAAAAACTGTACGTGTGGGTGGGAACGTTCATCTCAAAAATTTACTTTACAAGACTATCGTCTCATACTTATTTAAAAAATACGCATCACTTCAAGTATAGTACTGAGAAACATGTCAAAAAGTGTATTCCTAAAAAATAGATCATCTCCAAATAACTTTGCGAGTAGTATTGTCTCTAACACTGACATGTGGCAGCACCGACAACTTATTTGCATGGNGTCAGCTTTTTCCACCGTACATGAATCACAACATTCACACATTCACACAACACATATTCACAATCGCAACACAAAAAGATACGTGGTGTTGCGCTGCTTCCTGCCAGTTTCACCGCGGAAAGAAAAAAAATTAAACCACGCCCGAACGGAAAAGCGACGAAACGGGGGCCTGGAAATAACCGCGATTTCAACGGTGTAAATTTAGAATCTGACATTTTTAAAAGTACTGTACATAGAATTGAAAATTATTTGTCAGCGAGACATTTGTAATTTGTTTGATAAAATTTTTAACAACCATGTAATTTTCAGTTACTGTTTATAGCATGTAGATAATTAGTGACAAAGAAACTTATGATTATTTATAACAGAGGTATTAAATTACGGAGTTGTTCAATTGTTTTAAATGATTAAAAATACGCGTCATTATTTGTTGTTAATTATTTATTATTATGTGCTCTGTATAAGCAATGCACATGTCTATCTAAATGAATTAGTGCTGAGAGCGGACCAAAAATAGACTTATAAAAAAAAATTGCCTTAATTTTAATAAAATTATACTTCGTATATCGTCTCATTATCCGCTCCGAATTTTTGGTAAGTAATATAATATTCGAGTAATTTATTTTTACAGTTTCGTTTCTGATACATTAGGTGCTATTTAGTCATTACAGGAAATAAAAAATAAGCAAACAGTAAATTGGATATACTTAATGTCTGTTGAATTTTTAAAGATAGTATTGGAAGAAAACATTTATTCCTTGAATTTTGGACCAAATTTTTCTGTAATGATTATTCAAAACATAGCTTTGATGAAATTAAAAGGTTCGTGTTTATGAAATAAATAATATATTAGTGAAAAAGGTAGTTAAACTGATATTTAAAAGAAATATTTACACTAAATTTATGAGAGATAATTACTATAACTACATCCACAAAATATCATTTGATATAGTTTTAAAGTAATTCATTGATTATACGTTTAACTTTCAACGTTAAAGTTTGTAGTATGTCAACTTCAATTGAGGAACAATTTTAACGTTGTTAAAAAATGTAAACTATCTTAAATTTGTCGTTAAATTAGATAAAAGAGTAGTGAATATTTAAATTCAGATACCTGATGCAAAAGCATAGTACAACTACATAAAAAATTAAGTACTACATACGTGAGTTACATGTATATATACACACGTACATAACAAGAATTGTTTTTTACATTTTAATTGGCACCTTTTTAATAAGATATACGTATTTTTTTTCATAGAATCACACATTATTTTCAAAAGTCAAAAATAGAGTTTCAATTACACGGACATAACTTTGCTTTTCGAAACGATTTAAGGTAATTTATGTAAATATTACTAGCCTCTTGACAAATATAATATTTGAACACTGTAATTTTTTTTTTTACTGAATAAACAACAATCACGTTATGAAAAGTCTATTTGACGTAGAAAATCAAAAATATAACATGAAAGTTATGTACAATGAATACAAATAATTATGTGATATTTAATTACTATGTAACAAAGTATTGTAAAAAAAAATTCTTACAAAATCCAAAAAATTTAACTTTGTTAAGCAATAAAAAGTAAATCTTAAGAATAAATAAAAACTCATTTTGCGAGTAGATAAGGAGTTTGATGAAATTATTTTTTTTTACTACACCCGAAGTAGGAAAAATTTTCTTTGCCACCAGATACGAAAACTACTGTATGTCTGTATTCATAATTCACTTTTGAAAGATTGATTCAATTGATATCAAAAAAGAGCCAACCTAAATTTTTTTTAACGTTTTGGTTCAGTATTTATTACATTAAACCCTAAAAAAAATCTTTGTTGATAGTAATATTAAATAATATAAATCAGTCAAACCTTTAGATGATTGAATTTGTAAGAATTATTATTGAACATCTATTATTGACAATACGTTTAATTCAGTATTTATATCTCAGATAAAATTTGAAAGATACATGAGCATAAATAGGTCACAATAATTTTATTAATACTATTGTTAATAAATAGTTAAAGTGAATTTTGTACCAATGAAATTGTTATTATGAAAAAAATGTTGTGTTACAGCATACTGGAATGTGTCTTCATGTTCTGGAAAACCATGAGAGTCTTGTAACAACTTGTGCCTTTTCCGAAGATACATCAATCTTTTTAACAGGTTCGTATAATTTAGACTTTACTGATGACTATCATCAAGTTGACTTAGTAAATTGAAAATTTTTATCAAAAAAATTCACCTGTTAGATACGTAGTTGAAAAAAAAAATGGACAAAGTAAATATTCCAATTTACTAAATATTTGAGCTTCCGAAAATTTATAGCTAGATCAAATTGCAGTCATCCAGTAAACAATTGTTATTTTAGGTGCTTTGGACAAGACTGTATTGGTTTGGAAATTACCTGACCAATTGGTCTCTCAAAGTATTCTGATTGATCGTTTACGAAATTACCGAAAAAAAGTAAGTTTCTGTTGATTACCTATAATCTACTTATTAATTTGTACATGAATTATAAAAAAAAGAGGATAAATGATAATTGCATTAAGATATCCGAACAACTAAGTAAAAAAAATTTTTAATAATGATCATAAATACATTACAAACATTAACCATGTACGGATGATTTTATAAAAAACTCCAATTAGCTCTCGAAACTGGAAATATAATAAAGCACGCATTCCAGGCAAACATATTTTTTCAACGATCACTCATTTGTCTGAATTTTTTGGATATTGATAAACTCTTTCCAATCTAGACAAATCAAATCTAGAATAAAAATAGGCTCTATCATTTGCCTCGTCAATCTTTAAAGAAAAAATAAAAATATATGGTAGCTCAAATTTTCGAAATTTCAGTTTTGCTTGGTGGGCTGATACTTTACAAACATATTTTTGTTTTTTAAACGTAATTTTGATAATGTCACAAAATATTCAATTTTTTAGGTAATTTATGCTACATTTTTATACAATACTCATGATCACGACATGAAACAAACATTATTTTGAAATAAAAATTTGAAATCACTTGTTTCACTGACGTCCAACGGGAAAAAAAAGTATAAGTGACATTTTTGTCGAAAATGAGTTATTTATACCAATCGATTCGTCAGACAATTCTGTGTATAATAGTATATCTACAAATTAAAAAATATCTTATACCGTGATTCAGTAATAATTGATTGGAAATTGGAGAAATTGCTAATAATTATCGTCAGCGATCAAAAAAAAGGGTAAGTGACGCAAAACGTGGAAATCGAGCTAGGCAGATAGCGTAAGTGCACTTACCCTTTTTTTACGTTGTAAAGTCGATGATCACCGCCTTTGATTCCAAATTAGAAAAAGGGTAAGCCCCATGGAATAAGCTGTATTTTTGCACTTACCCTTTTTTTACGAGGAAATTGCGCCAAGTTAGAAAAGGGTAAGTGCAGATTTTCATAGTTCCCATCGAAAAATCGTTTTTCTTTTGTGGAAAATAGAATGATCAGATCATATTTATATAAAAAAGAACAGTTTTTCAGCGGTCCAATACTCAAATTATCATTGATTTTTTAAGACACTTAGTTTTCATTGATTTTCTCAGTTCATCTTCTCATGTCACTTATACCTTTTTTCCGTTGGACGGCAGTTCAGACAACATGTTATTTTTAATGTGATAAAATTTTTTTCCGCCCTCGGGTGGTTTTGGGAGGCTGGTACTTCCTCGGGCGAAAAAGCAGTTTTCCGAAACTCGTTCGAAAAGTCTCCTTTACGAAACCTCTCGGTTCGCAAACAAAGACTTTTTAAACTCGCAGGAAAACTACTATTGTTAATTGGTCCATTTTAATTATATAATTTAATTGTTTAATCATGTTTTTTATTTGGAGCACTGAAAAAGATGGGACATATTTTACATTGGAGCTTTATTAAGATGTATGGATTCAAAGTAATTTTTTACTAGAACTGATTGTTTCAAAAATATGTGTGTATTGTTTTTACGCTCAATAAGTAGAGACAAGTTTCGTTAACAAGTACGTGTACCTTGTAATATATTGTCGGATTAAAAGTTCATAGAGAACTATATTACAAGGGCATGGTTTATTGATAGATTTTTATAGAAATAGGAAAATAATTAATTGTCCATTTAAATGGAAAATTTTGACCAAAAGTTTTATTTTTTGACGAATCGATCGTTACGTTTGTTTCATTCTACAAAGCGAAACTACTAGAGTGCTTATCGCTACCGGGTTAGTACGCAATGACTTGTTAATCAATAATTATGAATAATAGACGCGCAGTCCTCAACGTGCTATAGTTCGATCGCTAAGAATAAACTTCGAGAAATGATTCTTGTGCGGTAAACATAATTTGTTAAATTTTAATGCATGTAAAGGACCTTCTTGTTACTGTATTTCACATGTTATACATATTTTGTGAACCAATTTGAAAGACAATAGTAATTGAAATCGCTCCTAATAGATTGTATTTTCAACGGGTATCTTACCAAATTTCACTCTTCATAGTTCTTAAAAAATTTNTACCGTATTTTAGGGAAAAATTTAATTTAATTTTAATTGAGATACCAATATATTAAAAAATTAATTTCCATTCTTAAATGAAATATTTTTTCGATTAATTAAATTTGATTGCAACAAGTAATGATTTTTTCATTCAGGACTTTAATTTTGATTGTAATTGTTTAGTTGAGGTGCTTAATATTTTAGAACCACGGTACCCAGACTCAGTAACTAAAAGTTAAACTTTTTAGAACAGATTTCAAAACAAAATTACAACGACGTTTTTTCTCGTCATGGCCACAAAGTGCTGTTTTACGACCCTCGGCAAACCTTTGGCCCATTGATTACTTTGCGCCTTACTGCAGAAAAATACATTGTCCCCCTATGGGTGCAAAGCGATTGATGGGTCTAGAGCGCACTTGGCACCGACGGTAGGAAAAACATCGTTTACAGCTTGGGCACAAATGTACACAAATTTCGCCGTTTGGGCCCGTATTTTGTACTTTACGCGTGGTGTAAAATGCTCTTTCAACAGTTTTAATTTAAATGTCAAATGGAACAAGTAAGTCGGTAGTAAAAGAAGGGTTCTCTACACAGGCGCCATCCAACCGAGGCTATCAACTCTCCCTATAAGAACCTGATGAATAATGTAGTCACAAAACAAATATAATTATGAGGAGATGATTGAATTTGTAAGAATTATTATTGAACATCTATTATTGACAATACGTTTAATTCAGTATATTTTTCCACTCGAATAGATATGATTCATAATTTCAAAATTTTCATCATCAAACGTATTAAACGTATGTGGCAATGGTGGCGAAATCTTACTTGATGGAAGTGAGTGGTTGATAAATAACTATAGAATAGTTGTATCTGTATTAAAAGATTGATCGTTGCTATCGTTAGCTAGTATTAGTTTTAATTTTTATTATTTATCGAGTGGTTGCCCAACTGTCATATTGTAGTGCATTAGAGATTTGCATGTTTTTCTAGTGATGTGCATTTGTACATAGTATGTAATTGAAAAGTTCATAAAAACCTGATATTTACTGAAAATTTTTTTTTTTTAATGTCAATATACAGTAAAGTTATCCTAAAATTTGTTTTTTCCAGTAGCTTATTTTTTAAACAACTAATTCATTATAGTGGAATGAAGTTAAATAAAAGCAAAAATTCCATACATAAGTTGAGCTTATCATATTTCTGCTTGAAAAACACGTATACTCTCGAACTTTGTTGTATTATTGTTAATAACGAAGCCTGTCTACGTAAATATTGTTTGTTTGAGGAATGTATTAGTTTTTGGAATATTACTGCTGTTAAACATTGTTCTTATAACTTTTAACGCCAAGTTTGTCAAAACCCAAGCGTATATACAAAATAAAATTGTAGAACCAAGTTCGCATCTTGTACTCACAAAGTCAAGTTGTTGTTTTTATACACATCGAGTATAAAAAAAATGCGTAAACCCGAAATTAATGTTTCCAGATGGCTTCACGTACGAAAGAGCAGCAATAAACGAGTGGTTCCTGTGCGGAAAGTTCACCAGTCCTATGACCAATGAACCACTCAAGACAACCAGCTTGACGACAAATGTCGATCTAAGAAATGCAATTTTCGAGATGTTGCACGGCGACGGACCTGCGAGCAAGTAATTACGAGCACCCACTCACTCAGCGTTCAGACTATATGGACATCCAGCACGTATGATGAATGTATTATACCTATTTATTTGTCAATTGTCAATTGTTATTTGTTGCAATACCATTAGTGAATTATTTCTTGCTTACGCACCTTTACGATAGTTCGGATTTCTGATGAGGGCTTCACGAGAGTCGAGACAAGACAATATTTGGATAATTATTGTACTGTTCTTAAAAAATCTTGAGAACATTAATTCTTGTCTTGGTCTGGACACATGAAGTCTTGTATTGTATTGGTCTTTTCTTGAGATCTTGTCATTCAATTTCTGAACCATTGAAACCATAGATATTCGTTATAAAGCAACAGGAAGGCGACTAAATTTGATATTTTATTAAAATGTAGTAAAATTTTAATAAAATTTTTTATTTTGTTTAACACTTTATGTTAAACCTCGATCACATTAATGTAAAATAAAGAGTAAATAAGTAAGCTCAAGAATTATTGAAAAACCAAGATTCTTGAGGAAACTACTCTTGGTATTCTCTTAAAATTTTAAGCTGTATCTTGTCTCGATCTTATCTTGAAATTCGAGACAACACAAAACAATATCAAGATAACTCTGGAGATCTCGTGAAGCCCTATTTCTGATGATACATTGTTAAGTATAGATTACTATTCACGAAGCAAAAGAAAGTACTTCATTGATTTTAGCAGTACTTATACTAATTATTGACATGTCTCTAAAGAAAAGATCTATGTAGCAGTGGCGTTTATAGTGAATTGTTATAGTCTATAAACTGTTTATTAAAAAAAATAATAATAAAAAAGTAAGTTTCTGTTGATTACCT